ATTACACTTGTCAATATACAGGTCTATAATTGAGGGGGTCTTCCAATCTACAAAAGTGGCAGCAGGGAACTATGTTAGTCTTTTTCCACACATCTGCTAGGACTCCTGTACACAGGGATGCCTGAAAAATCAGTTTAAGTGGAATGCTGAGCTAAGGTGCACAGAACCCAAGATGAAACTCAATCTGGGCCAACTGTTTTGTTTTTACTGTACTTAACTCCAAGAGCATTTTTTCCACTTCATCTCTAGACACCTCTATATGCTCTATGTTGTTCTCTGGAATTCTTATTGTGCTCGATTCTCTGAAGATTTAATTTTGCACAAACACACTTGGGAACCGTTTGTTTAATGATTCACACATTTCCTTTTCATTTTCTGTGAATCTGTTTCCCCATTTTCAACCTCTGGATATTATCCTTTACCTGCAACTTGCTCTTTATGAATTTATAGATTTTTAGTTCTTGGCTTGGTTCTGTTTCACATTTGTCCGCTATTCCTTTCTCAAAATTTCTTTCTGCCTCTCCTCACTGCTGTGTAGTTGTTTCTCGCTTCTTTGTATCGCTGGTATGTTTGGGGGGGTTTGGCCTCTTCCTATATTGATTTGATTTTTGTCTTTTGGTCTCTGGCCCCTTTGCAATTTCTGTTGAACCTGTTTCCTAGTTCTGCATCTCTGCTTTGGAATAATTTTTTTTTGCGACTCGTATATTTAACAAAACTTGACATACATCTTCATTTACTTCCTTGCCTAACAGCAAATTTTTCCAGTCAAATTCCTTAAAGAAAATTCTAAGTTTTCCATAATGTTCTCTCCTGAAATCAGGTTTTTCAACTGCTTCAACTTCCTTTCCTTCCAGATTATAATGCACTACATTATTCCCAAAAGAACATGGTCACTTTTACCCAAGGGAGGAAGGCACTGAATGTTAAATTCAGTACTTCCTCTTTCCTGGTGAATGTCAAATCCAGCATGGAGGGAACATCCCCTTTCCTCACCCTCATAGCTTGTTTAACGCGTTGATACATGAATGTCTCCAGGACGAGGTTTACGAATCTACAGGTCCAAAAGTCCTGTTCTAGCTTCATATGCCTCCCAGTCTATTCTATGGATGTCGTCAACTACAAACAGTCATGATCTATCTTTATCCACTCTCGCTATAATCTCTCTCATTATTGTTATGAGGCTCCTCTTGTTTATTATCCAGCTCATTCTTTGTCCATGTGTTGCATGGCAGTAGACTTTATGCTTCCATGATTATTAGTTATCATCCTGCTTTTAAATCTCCAGTGCTGTCGTGTCAATATTATTATTATGCATGGGTGCCCTGATGTAAATCTCTATGCATTGGCTTGGAATCTGTGCGTTGGTGTCTACATGACTCTGTTCTCCGATTGTGAGGCCCTTGTGGTGGATGTCTTTTGGCTTATTATCTAGTTGCAGTGGAGGTTTCTTTACCTTTTTCCTGGTCCAGCTGTTGCTCCGGGTCCTGACCATGTTGGAGTCCTACCACTGGAAGGTGGTCCTTTTGGCTCCTAGTTGGTTGGCACAGTCTTTGTTTCAGGTGCTGTTTGCATGGTGTTCGAACCTGGCTATTATTCCTCGGCTCCATGTCTTTCAGAAGATTAGTTCAGTGACATACCTAGCTGGTTCAAACTTCTCAACTTTTCATATCTGGTATTTCTAATGCATCTATCACCATCTATATTGCGAGCAGAAGGCCGAATTGATGGGGCCCATGCCTGCGTTTTGTCTTCCCAGCAGCAGTATGAAGCAGCCTAGCACTCTGTTCCCCACTTCCTGTCCCTTCGATGTCATTCTTCCATCTCTGTTAACGTTGACCTTTCATTTCTCTTTTGGTTGCTTCTCAATTGGCACCTTATGCTTAATACTGTCGCCTCTTACTGTTCGGCGCTAGTAGAGCTGCTAGGACTTGCGTCCAACATCAACATTACCTCAGCACCATTTCAAAAGCTGTCTTGTGCACAGTTTCACTAGCCTGTTCATGTGCCACCTAAACCATTCTAGTCTCTTGACAGTGTTCTCACATTCCTTTCTTCTCCAAGGTTTACCGTTTTCCCTTTTGTCTACGATTCATTAGGCAGTTTTCTGTTGGCACTCGCCTCCAGTTGTAGGTTCGGGATATACATGATCTTTACTAGAGGTGGGGTCATTGTTCTTTTGGCCTAGGTGGGTGTAATGTTGGCTTGCAGCCAGCTCCTTTTCTGGTAAAAAATGAGTTGGTGGGCTTCCAGAGGGGTCCTTTGGATGTTGATGCTATGTTGATTCAGCCAAGTATGTATCTTGTCCTGTGCCTGGCAAAGGCTCTTCACTGGTACCTTCATGTCACCAATTCTGCCTTGGTAGACACTGCAGGTCAATCATTTTTCCTTTGCTCCTTATTCCAAAGCTCGTGTTTCTCAGGTCGTCCACAGTTTCATTAAGCCCAGCCAGCCTGCAGTCTATCCTTGAGCCCATAATGTTCATAAGCACAGTATGCTGCTCTCATAGTGGTCTTTGCTTACATGTCTTGGGCTGATATTAAGGTGGAGGGGTTTTGGCAGTCTAAAGAGTTATGGTAAACCAGGATTTAGTTTATGTTTCTGGACCTCATCATGCCTGTTACTTTGGGTCTTTTCTATTGCCCTGCTGTCTCGTCTTCATCCAGTTGCAGCCCCGCTACTGTGCCAGGTGCTGTTTGTTTCACTACGGGCTCACCATAGCCCATGCTACTTGGAACTATTCGTTCTGAGTAGCTGAATCTAAAATAACAGCTACAACAATCTTCATCTTGATTGTCTGAAGTTCTTACTCCAATAAGGTAAGTCCCCCAGTATGCCAAACAGAACTCTGCAGCTGCTGTGACCTTGTAGATGGGAGCCATCTCAGTGAAATAGCTTTAAGGATCTACCAAGGCTAATCCAGAAACAGGCCTTTCATTACAATCAATACTCATTTTTCCTTTTACTTCATGATGCTTGTCTCTAGGTTTTCAAGAATATGTTGGGAGCACAATAATCATGTCTGCCTTGAATGCATATGACAGGTGACCACCCACAGAGAAACAAAGAATGTGCCTCTCTTCTATCTGAACTCAATGGAGACCTTGTCTTTTACACATTACTGGTTGAGTGCCCTGGACCCAGAATGGCTTCCCTAATAGTCACTGGCTGGCGAAGAGGGCACTGCCAGTGTCAAGATGCAGGAGGCGGCAATGCCTGTGACAAGACAACAGTTCCAAATAAAGTACTTAAGTGGGGCTTCTTGGCAGTTCAACGTAGTATATGCTCAATAATCTGAATTATTTCGAACCCACACCTATTTGAGTTTGCAGAAGTTTTACCTGGAAAGTCCAAAAATTAAACAATTTAAATGTGATGGGCTTTCGTTCACCAGAAATCTCGGTAACTCAAATTTTTATTTGAGTTGAGCAGTTAAAAAACTCCAGCTTAAATTTATTCAGATTAACTAAATCTCAAGGTTACTGGAATTTGGGTTACCAAGCTCTTACAGTACTTCCGAGTGATGTTTTGGGGCCTCCCTGCTGGAGAAATTATTGACTATAATGTGTTTTACTAAAATTGCAGTGTCAGGTATATGCGAGCCAGAGGAAAGAAAATAAAATTAAACAAGTATAGTGTTTCCAGAAAAGAATCATGAGCATGCACCAAAGTGCAATCAAAAGAACAGTAACACTGCAAAGAAAATGGAGATGCATCAGCAATTCTGTTGGTACACTTGGCGAATCTCAAATTTGAGTATATCTGCCATTGTATACAATATGGTTTGTCCATCAAACAATGTTGCTGGACCATAAAGACAGGAGAAGCAGGTTGAAAAGACTGAGTTCATCAATCACTTTTCTAAGAGACTGGGCACACAACTTTGCAACTTTCAAAGTTCAGCAATATAAATAAAACTCATAAAAGCTGAGAATAGCAGTGTGTTTGCAGTGAAGCTTCTTGGCACAATTATACCTGGGCAACACCCAGAGTGTGTTCTTAAGAGTTCTACTTTACAAACCCGGCATGGGGCCCTCTTGATTTCTAATAACCTGCTTCAACCAACTGTTGCTTGGAGTGGCCTACAGGCCCACATATCCACTACAACTCGCTTGGTCCAGTACAGTAATTCTTACAGAAACTTGTCTGTTTCTTGAAGTCTACCTTTGTTCCAGCAAAATTTTGTATGCTTCCTGGAACGGTACTAAATAGTTGTGGACCTCTGATGCAAGTTAAATGTAAACTAGTGTTCTATTTTTGGAAAACCACTAGACCCAATACTGACAGACAAAAACAACACTGCACAATGTCTGCCTATCAGAACACACGTCAACATACAAAATGCCATTACATGCATTTTGCCCCAAAGGCAACAACTCTTGGTGGCTTAACAATGAGCATATGGCACAAAAGAAGCCCATTCCTTCTCACAACAAAAAGAAGACAGCTCTCCAACTTCCTGGTGACTACAGTACATGAACAACTCGGGACACTTTACTGTGATCTTGCATCAAGTCCAAATTATGAAAAAGGGAAAGAGCGAAAACCCAATTAATCTTTACACCAATAAGGTCACGGCCCTTGTGGATTTGTTCATTTGATGCATCACGTTAGTGTGATCTCTGTGTGTATTGCTTGACCCATATTTGACTTTGGAATTGCAACTACAAATGTCACGTATAACACTGGGTACAAGGATAGATTCCTGGATGCTTGGCATTCCCTCACCATGTACATACTAACAAGTACCTGGCACTAATGGACAAGAAAATACAGTGACCCCAGACTACAAAGCCAAAACCACTACCAGATGGAATGGATCCTGGGGCTGGCCCTTGTTAGAATCCCTTGAAGTGCCACCTGGAGGCTAAACATTACACACCTATTATAATTAATATGTTCTATTATGGTACTGTATTTTGTCATTAGATCTCAAATAAATGCAATGGTTAATGTTAACATTATGTTTATACAAAAATGTTGGAAAGGCAATTGAACGCTACCTGTGCCTTTCCATTTTTCCCTGTTCTGAGTTGTTTATCCATGGCTTCTCGGGTGATTTGCCGAGACTTCAACACACAGAAACCATCCCAATCAAGAAACGTGTGATGTTTGAAGGAAATCAGTCAAGAGCTACCTCGTCCACAAATGGCACATCTCTCAGTATCTGTATAGCATTTTCAAATGAGTACTTTACAACTTTAAAAATAATGTTCCACTTCAAATTTCTAGGGAGTCTCCTAAATTGTACATATTATGTACTATGTAGATAGTTCTACCCAAATTAAAAAAAAAATTAATTGATGCATAAATCTGAGTTATAAATTTTTAAACTTGGTCATTTATGCAAAATCAGGGGTGTAGAAACTTTTTTTTTTTTTTTTTTTTTACATAAAATAGACATAACTAAATAAATCAATTTACAATATACAGTTAGATTCTATTATGGCAGTTGAATGTAATGGATATAAAATGGGCAAAATTTGTTGACGATTATTCATTTTTAATTTTTTTTTAGTGTTGTTGAAAATTAGTATTTTCCCTTGTTTCTTCTTAGGTTGCAATGCTGAAACTATATCCCAGGAGGCCCTATTGTTACTATCAAATAAGTTTCAATAAAATTGAACTTTTAACACCCATTGAATGTGTCCCCCCTAAGGAAGCCTAAAATGCAGTGTGTTGATGCTGTATAACAGTGTTATGAACAAGCAGACTGAATAGATAATACCAACCAAAAAGCTGGTTAGTCATGAATCAGGGAGATACCGTGCTAAAATAAGCAGAACTGTATATTTCCGAGAGGTTCATATACTGTATTCATTAGAATGGCCTCGGAGCTTTAAAAGTCGTTTTAGTATTAAAACCAGTAAAATCTGCTGGGACATAGCAGTTTGCCGATACAGTTAGTGTAGTCTCTTGTACTGAAGTTTAAGCACCTTGTGGAAACTGAAGATTTATCACCAAAACAATTTTATAATGCTGGTGAGCCAAGAATGTACTGGAAAAAGTTACAGTAAAAAAATACAGTTTGGTTCATGATGAAAACTACCCTACTGTTGGCTAAATATGCAACAAAGAATGAGTAAGAGTGTTGTATTGAGCCAACTGTGAAGGTGCATACAAATGTAAATTATTACCATTTAGGGAAAAAAGCTTGTAGCTTAGGCCAAAGAAAAGAGCAAAGAATCTCCCTACTTTATATAAAGCCCCCAAAAAGTGTGTGGATGACTATGAACATTCCCAGACTGGTTTACCAAGAAAATTGTACCCATGGTAGAGGGGAACCTAAGAAACGTAGCAAAGTGGTGTTACTACGGGTACAATTTATCATGTTTACCTTGTAACACCGAACCCTTCATCTATCCCATGGACCAAGGCATCAATATCATGAGGGTAACCTAAATTAATTTCACAGGTATTTAACATTAAAACAACTACATAGAATGTACCTTCTGGTTTGTGCAATGTCAAAGAAACAACTTTATGGAATGCAATAAATCTTTGGACAGCATCTGCTAATTTTCATCATGCAAGCAATAATAAAGATTTAGAAAGGTTTTCCTCAAGAACCAGTACTCCATGGAATAGAACTAATAAGCCAGGAAAACCTTGGCTATCTTAGGGCACCAAAGTCAGCTGAATAGAGAAAGGTACTAACACCAGAAGTTTGTGTGAACAGGACAACATTGGAAGCATATGGGAAGTGAGCAAACATAAGAACATCATTTAAGAATTTAAACATGGAGACTGTCTAGTACATCCACAATGTCTATGCGAGACCATTACTTGAGTATACAACACCAGCATGGCTCCCACACTTTATGAAGCACTAAAAGAACCTTGAGAAAGTTTAGAGATTTGCAATTAGATTAGTAACAGTAGATTGAGGAAACTTACCCTCACCTCTCTCTTCTTAGAGGTTACAAGAACCAGAAGGGATATGATAAATACATACAAGATCCTAAGGAGAAGAGACAAAGGAAGCCTATTTAAATGAAAAGGAGGTAGGACAAGGACACATCAGTGGAAGACAGACATGCAACTGAGGTATAAAGATGTAAGGAAGTTCATGTTCCCTGTACAAGTGGTGGGCAACTTGAAGGAAGAGGTTGTTGAAGCCAAGTAAATCCATAACTTTAAGAACAAAAATATGATGAATACATTAATTTTGAGAGGAAAATGTGGCAGATATACATGCTAGGAGGCAAGGCATAACGAGCTACATCTCACTCCCCATAGTCACTAACAGGCAAGCACTTGAGGCGGCGGTAGCTTCACTGTCCTTATTGAACCAACCTTAATCCTTGGACTGTGCCCATTTATACAAGACAACTCCCTAGCGAGTGAATTTTTTTTTTTAATTCCTCCAAATATTATTGAAGTGTTCTCCCTGATTATGGGAAACAATAAATTGTTTTGTGACTTACTTTGGCCATAGTGAAGCCAGGAAATCTTACAGTGAAGTCATGATTCGTGAGCATTCATGGAGCCATTGCCCCCCAGTGTGGTCACCCTGGGTCACTAATGGTGGGAGTTGCCAAGATATTTTTACATACTGTACAGTACTTCAATGTCCATGATTTGTTTTCTGTCTGTTTTTTACAGTAATATTACCCAATAGTGTGCCATTCCAGAAATGTCTATATTAAAATGTGTTAAACATTAGGCTGTTCAAATGTATTTGGGTCAAAGATGTGCACCATATTATATTCTTAGACCAATAAGAAGGAACAACAAAACATTGCTTTTGCTATTATTACTGTACTCAGTATACACACTTTACATACAACTATCTACATTTTCATGCACCATTATGAACCACTGATCAATTCCGGGAGGGTGTAATAATCTCGTAGCCAGTTATCAGAGTTCAGCCTAGACTTGCATATTTTGCACAAAATTGTAGGTGCACGCACTGAATACACAGTTCATCCTCGCTCTAACGAACCCTGCGTTATCAAATTCCTGGATGGTCAAAACATATTGAATTTAGTAAAAATTGTTCAGTGTAACATACAAATGTTTGAGCAAGGATTTTTCATGCAAAACATTGCCAAAGTCAAGCTTAGGGGAACAGCCATGTTATCATTCATGATCCACCTAATCAACTGGTAAACAATTGTACAGTGCTTAAAAACTTTTAATCAAGCTTAAATATGGCATAATATTTTACAATTTATATTATAAAATACAGTACTATTTAAAAAAATCTACATAGAATAGCCAAAAGTTTATTTTATTAAGTCGCCACTTCACTTGTTCAAGCACCACTGATGGTGGGTTGGTTTGGTCAGAGATGTTAACGTCAATTACAATGGAACCTCAGCGTTACCCTTGAGTACTAGTTTTTCGGTGTATGACGACAATTTCACCGTAAAATTTGCCCTAGTGAAAGACATTTGCTCTGGAATACAAATCCCATGTTCATACGTGTATGGATCATGTGTGTGGGTTCTGCAAGGCAGAGGGTGAGGTACGATCAGCTTACCCATGAATCCTGCCTATTGATAACTGCATTTCAATTCACTATGAAGAATTTTATCATTTTCTTTTTTTGTTGCTGAACAGAAAAGATCTTACTATATATCATGCCATGGGTCCCAAGAAAGTCAGTGGTAAATTCAACCAAAGAAAATCGATGTAATAGAAAAAAAAAGCATAAACATGAAAATGGTATGCCTATGTTTGATCTGGCTAGGAATGTGTGCAGTGTGGGAAGAACATGGCGGCCCTACACATTCACACACAGGATAGTGATGTTGCCAGATATGGTCCTCATTTCTTTTTTTTACTTAGGCCCTAGACAAAAAGTAAGGGTTTCAGGTTTTTTTTTTTTTTCAAAATGGAGGATTGTTATTGAAGGCCTAAGGGAGCAACTGTGAGCCCCATGTATGTGTAAGACTTAAATATTATGTAGTTCCGTGCTACATCGTTTGATATGATAGGCAGTCTGAGCATATTTATGTACCCCATCAAATGATGTGATGCGCAGCCAAAGGGTTAGCAGTTCGTAATGGTGCATAAAACTGTAGTTAGATATACTGTGTGTATACAGTATAACAGCAAAAATAATGTTTATTGGTCTAAGAATATACCATGGTGTACACGATGACTAAACAAAAAAAATCAGAAACATCATCGTTTCTCCATTTTCTAATGTGTGCTTTGGTCATCATATCTTCAGCCACATTATTGTGACTTATCTGCATATGGTGTACATATTAATGACAAATTTGAGTCTACTGATGCTCACACACATTATACGTTTTATATATATTTTTCAAATGATACACTTAAATAGAACTGCAAAAAAAAATAAAATGAAAACAAATTGGTGACACTGAAATATGTAACAAATATCTATGCGCTAATTACAGGGCGATAGCTCCACGGATGCTCATGAATTGTGACGTCATGATAAGATATCATCCTTCCCACAGTCAGTCAATGTTTTCTTTCTAATTTTCCCCTTGAACTGGGAATGCATTTAAACAATATTAAAAGTTAAAAAAAAAAAAGCAACATTTTTTTCTGGAGCACAGAGCAGTTGTCAAATAAATGAAATTTTTGTGAGCAGTGCAAAGATTAAGCAGATACTGTAATTATCATCATCCTTCATAAAGTAGCTTGTTCGTTGTTGTTTAGTAGCGAGTCAGTGTTTGGGAGTTTAGCTGTTTTCTGTGCACTGGAGACATGGGAGGAGTAAGCACTGCCATAACCCATTGCCTCTCACCCACCACCAGTTAAGCCCCTCACTGCCTGAAAGTCACTTGTTAGGTTAGAATTCTTTAAGATCAGGGTTACAGGTATCTGTAAGCCAGAATAATTTAATTTGGGCATTGTTTTGTCCCAAGCAGGTTGGATTCAAGATGCAGATATTGTACCTCAATCCACTAGAGAATGTGAGTGAGTGAATTTGGTGAAATTTCATTATCTTAACATTGTGCCCATTGTACCCACCCTGCATAAAAAATAAGTTAGGTTCCAAAATAGTCTTCAGGAGAGGGACTAACTTCATTAAGCTTTGAATTAGGACCATAACTAAAAGTTCCAAATCTGTAAGAGGAAATGTTTTAAAGTTGTCATCAAGAAACAAAGAGAAGACAAAAGGAAATGGTTAAACCATGAGATATTTGCCACCCATGGGATACTTAAAAAGAAAAAACTTAATGAATTATTTATTGCAGACTATGTAAAGTGTAAGAAGTGTTTATGAAGATTTTTTAAACATCCTTAAGTGAGAAGAAAAAAGGCAAGATAAACACAATGAAATTAAGCCTAATTTAACCCTTGGATATTGGTTAACAAGTGGAGAGGTGTAAAATGACAAATACCCTATTAAAATGCTGGGTATTTATAAATGTTAAAACTTAGGTCAATCTGTT